GTCTTAGGTTTTTTAGCCTACAGGATCACATCTGTACAATACCCGATAATCCTTCCTCAACTAGAGGGGTTACACGTGGCATTAGTGCACAGGTCATCATATCCTTTTACTACCCAATTACCCTCCCCTTAGTGGTTATATAAGCGATTTTGATTAAACGAACTCTATGCGTGCATTACCCCTCCCTTCCTTATGGCCCTGGAGGTGTTTAGGACCTCTATTTAGGCAGTTCTAGACTTTCCTAAGGTACTTAAAGGAGAAAAATCTAGGCGACAAGAAAGAACAAATAGGACATTCACATAAAGGCAATTAAAGGCTCACTTTTACCTCCTCACATAAGCAGATAATAGTACGTCTCAAACAGCAGGATTTCAGATATCTCAAAGGATCCTTAGAGCAGGATATCCAGGTGAGCATGACAAACAGAATATGCAGCATTGTGTTTAAGCGAGGCGATAAAGGCCTAGTCAGTTTGCCTACTGATTCTAGGGCTTGCTGAATCTGGACAATTCACAAATAACAAAAGCATAATTTTACAGTTTGCAGGATTTTAGTCGCCCTACAGGCTTGCCTAGGCGCATAGCAGTGATGTCCTATAGACATGGTATCTAGTCATTAATCAGGAATGCAGTAAACAAGTAAACAATTTTAAGCAGGAGTTTGGATCCTGTAGTCATGCTGTCTAGGTGTAATAACTGAATACTGGTGACTAAATGCAGAAATTAGCTTTAAAAATCCTAGAGACATGGCATCTAAATGCTGCAATTAGTTTTAAAACGTTATTGACATGCGGAAACTGATTTAAACTTTGTCAACATGTAAAGACTGATTTTAAACTTATAGGCATGGTGTCTAAAATGCAAGATTGATTTTTAAACCCTGTAAGCATGGTATCTAAAATGCAGGACTGATTCATCGATATGGTATCGCAGTAAACTTACAGGTATGGTATCTAGAATGCAGGATTGATTTTTAAACCCTATAGGCATGGCATCTAAATGAACAAACATTGCGATAACCTATAAGTATGGTATCTAAATAACAGACATTGCAATAAACTATATGCATGGTGTCTAATGCAAGTAAATAATCCTAAGAACATGATCTCTAATGCAAGCAAATAGTCATAATAAACCTAAGGACATGATTTCTACCCAGTTTCCCCACAAGAATTATACAAGAATCCCTCCCTTTTACTATTTTTCCCAATATCTGTTTACAAGAATTATTATTACAGACCAACATTAATAATGAATTACAGAAGTGAAATTGCTACAACTATAGGGAGCCTGAACAGGCCCAAACCATAAACCTGAAAAATCAGGCCTTCAATCAAGTATGAACATGCCAACACTCTCATAGTGCACCCAATGGCATCCTGGTGTGTCAAAGTTCCCAAGGGCCTTAGGGACCCCGGGCAATGCTCACACCAGAAAACTTTCAAAGCAACCCTTTTTGTGAGCAAGTTTGGAAAGCCAACCCCAGTGTGTCAAAGTTCAGAGGAGCATCATGGACTCCTAATCAATGCTCACACTGGAAGGGCAAGACCCTAGGTGTTTCGAAAATAGGAGTCGAAAACAGGAGAGAGTTTTTAAGAAAAATAGTTTTAGAAGTGAAAACATGTTAGAAGTGTGAAACAGTTTGGAGGTGAAGACATATCAGGAGTGAACAACAGTTTAGGAAACATTCTGAACAAAGGTTCAGCAAACCAAAAGCACACAGAACATAGTCACAAAACTTCAAGGCAAAGACTCACATTCAACTTGGTTTATTTGTAACAGCCCAGCTCGCTAGTGATATTGTCGGCTCTGGGCCTAGGCCCTCACGGGTTTAAAACGCGTCACTAGAGTCTAAGGCTTGTTAACTTATATACCCAGCATCCCTCTTGTGTTTTGCCGATGTGGGGCTCTGTCAGTGTTACATACACCCCCTCTTATGGACTCAGCGTCCTCGCTGAGGTTTGCCCCACTGCATGGGATTTGCCTAGACTCAGCACTGAGGTTTGCCCCGCCTAACCGGGATTTGCCTAAACTCAGTTGAACTCTGACCCACCATCGGCAAGTCTGACACAAGAGTGACTCTGATACCATCTGTAACAACCCAGCCCGCTAGTGATATTGTCTGCTTTGGACCTAGGCCTTCACGGGTTAAAACGCGTCACTAGGGTCTAAGGCTTGTTAACTTATATACCCAGCATCCCTCTTGTGTTTTGCCGATGTGGGGCTCTGTCAGTGTTACATTATTAGTTAACCCTAAGTGATCATATGGCATGCTGAGGACAAACAATTTCACAGATAGGGGATCAGGGGTTGGGGAACACGGGGATCTTGAATCAGGAACACACAGAAACATGGTGGTAGGAAAGCATGCTAGTTAACAGGAGATACCTAAGCCTAACAGCCATACTTAAGGGTAGAAATAATTACACTGACTTAAAGCAATAGACAGGAAAATTTGAAACTTAAACACAGAAGTAAGTTGTTGACAATAAACAGGAAAGATTGAAATCTGAACACAGAAGTAAACATGTTGGTCTAAAGCAATGAACAGAAGAGCTTGAAACTTAAACAGAAAGTAAACATTCTGATTAAGATGATAAACAGGAAAGAGAAAAAGTTAAACACAGTAATAAGCATGCTGGTTAGAATACATAAGAGGCATGGATTAGACTGAGGTGAAGTAACATGTGAGGGAGCACATAAGTTCAAGCTTCATAGTATAATAAATAACATTAGGAATAGAGACATACCAATTAAAGGAAGCAGAAACAGAAGGTAAAGTAGGCAGGATTCAACAGCCTAGCCTTGGCATTCAGCCGGCTAGACAAGCAATGAACACAAGTAGCAGAGAGAGAGATGAGAGAAAGTTTATGTGTGTGTGTGTGTTTGAACTATTGTTCGTTGTTTAAAGAAGTCAGAATGAGAGTTTATATAGCACTTAGTAAGGTGGGACAAATATGGTAAAGAATAAATCAGAGTTCATAAAACAGGGTAATCAAATAAATCAATCAGTTAATTGGGGACTTAACTCGATCAATTCCCACAGAAGAATCCGGAAAGGACCCCCTTAAATTGGGGTGAATCCCTTAACGATTCAGATTGGGATTCAAATAAGGTAAACAAATCAGTCATATACCATATAAGAGTCAATTAAATTCGTAAATCAGACCAATAGTCTAATTAAGGCAAGTAGTACTAATTAAAGTCACAAATAAGGAAAATAGGTAAATCATAGAGAAGTACTGATTTTAAGAGGAAAATATAATTCGAACCCTAAATGAAATCAGTCAATATATTTGATTGACAGAGATAAACAAATAACGGGAAAAAGATTGAAGTAATCGGTGCAATAAACAGAAAGACCTAGGGTTTAAAGCATATACACAAAATTAGTCAAACCGGTAAAGATAATCAGATTCAAACACTTGGAAGTTAAAAACCCTTTGAAGAGAACTTAGGACAAAACCCTAGTTCTTAGAAAACACTAGAATCGAATAATAATAAGGAAAACAGAAGGTTTTTTCGAAGAAAATACCAAATAACACTTAAACGTTTCAGATCTACAAGGATCTGAACAGACCCAGGTAGCATAAGATTAGGGTTTTAAGAAAAATGACAGAGATGGAAGAGACTTGATTTAAAACCATAGGTTCGAGCCATAAACAGGAAGAAAATAATCTCACAAACGGAGATGGCCGTAGACAGGCCTATGAAAGGTTTCGAACAAAAAATCCAAGTTGAATATCTTCGAGATTCTTTCATACATCGACATAATCGAACCACCAGAAGAGGTAGAAGGCCAACAAGTGTCGGAGAACACACAGAAACTCCATAGACGGGAGTTTTTGCCAGTGACGGCGATTAGGGTTAGGGGCGAGTTGAGAGAGAGTCGGAGAGGTTAGGGAACGAAGGCGGCGGAAATGAAAGAGTGAAGGGGTTTAGGGGGTCATTTGGGATTAATATGGTAAGGTTAATTGTGGACCGTTGATCTGAAAGATCAACGGCCACGATTAAACGGGGTTATTGGGTCGGACAGTATATGTTGGGCCTGGGGGGTGAATTGGGCTGGTTTTAAAAAGATTTGGGCTAATATTTAGGGGTTAGGTCCGAAGAATTAAAGAAATTAAAGAGGCTATTTGTTAAATACCCAATTAATTAATAAAATAATTTGTAAAATAATTAACAGATTATAAAAAATGATCTTTGTGCATGAAAATATTTTAAGACAATCACTCTGATATTTTGAAAATGCAAAAAGCTATTTTCTGGTGAGATAATGTAATAATGTATACATAGGATATTTTTTGCAAAATATGCAATTATAGTCTTAAAAATGCAAGTGTAATTATAAAAAATGCAATTAAAATATTTGAACACTCATATGAACATAAATGATGAATATAAATGATTAAATCATCATAAAATAATATGAGGGATAGTTTTGAACATTTATGTAATTAAAAAATGCAGAAATAAATTGATTTAGGGCCTTGAAAAATTGCAGAAAAATGTAAAACACTTGTGCATATTTGTAAATGCATGTACGATATTTTGAAAGTGTTTATTCATATTTAAAATACATGAGGAAAAAATTGGGTATCAACACATTGACTAGCTAAACTTTCATGTTGCACTCTTTTCTTATTATTACTTCTAACTTCCAACAAAAATGACCCTTTTATATTTTTAAAACAACTAAATATTAAGCTTTACAAGATATCTTATGGAATGCTTTTACAGCCACATAAATAAAATGTTTAAAATTACAAATTCTAAAAGTCTTTTTTCATCCCCCAAAAAAGCTGGGGCTCAGTCGAATAGTCATTTACATTGAAACAGTGCGAGCATACCACAACATTCTTTGCATTCTACTTATAGAAAAAATGTATTTAAAATGGAAGAAAACCCATCCATCTGTTATGACTTGTCTTGCTTTAGACAACACTGACATTTTTCTCAACCTTTAATAACAAAATATCACCAAACAAACACTAGAAATAATGCAGAAAATGTTATCCCAAAGTAATATATTGTCCACGGAGAACATATATGAACCTTGTCATCCATAAATACTTGAATATAAAATAATTCTGGGACAAAAAAAAGATTTAAAATCACGTGGACGTTAGAAAAAATAAAGGCATTACAATTCTCAGAGAAGCTCACGAGCTTTCAAAATAATCAGAGTAGCATTTTGAGGAGTTAGGCCTCTTCCTAAAGGAAAAGGTCTAGCCAGTTTAAACAAAGATGCTGTTTGTGAGGCACAAAAAGCAACTGCGAGTCGTCAAAAGGATTTGAATGACCTTATATACAATCTCAAACTTACACCCCTAGAACAGTGTCGTTTATTGCAGAGGAAACCTTGAATGCAGTCCATAATGAACTAGATAGCAAGATTATCCTTGAGCAAACGAAAAAGCGAAGTGCTGCCCTGGGTTCTGTTCTTACGAGAAGATCCTTTCTTTTCTGCCTTGACTCCCTGCAATAAGCTGTTAAGTCAAATGTGTTTGTACAACAAAAGAGCTCGAACCGGGGAAAGGAATTCCATCATGAGAATTTATACATCCTACCAAACATGGAGACACTAAGTCGAATTATTTAAAATTGGATACAGATAATGGTTAATAAATAAAGGAAAGCAATGACAACAGTGGCTGCAACAAAAACCGAAAATGATAAGCACCAGTAATTCACCTTTGGTTTCTCATTCTCGTCCTTGAAGTCTATATTGCCTATATCTTTTAATAAGATAGACGAAACTGGTAGAAGTCTCCTGGATAAATTATTGAATGAAGATGAATAAGCAAGCAGACAATACTATTAGGAGCTGATGTAAGCAAACTAAACACGTGACATACCTTTTTGGCCTATCTGCATTCTGAAATTTAGTGCAGGAACCATATTTGGTAACTGCTTCAGGTGTGTTGTTATCATGGCATCCTAGAGCATGTACAACTTCCTCGGGCATTAACATTGTCGATGGACCCAATGGTTTCTGAATTACATAAGAAAATACCTATATTATTTCGGAAGAGCTCTGAAGATATAAACTTCAAAACAGTTCAGATGAAACAGGTGACGCTGACAGTATTTTAGGCCACTTTGTAAAGCTGGCCCTTGCTTCCTCAAGAAATCATAGAATTAATGTATAGGCTTCTCTAAGGAAGACGAGTTGCAATAAGCAATTATCTATATATTTGTTCTACAGTAAGCCGGTTTTCTTTAGAATAAACTATCTTATTTTCAAATATATTCAGAAGGCATATCTTAAACTAAGCTACCATGTTCTCATACTGTTTAATTTAATATTGAAATATATATTTTTAGATTCAGACAAAATAATGTAGTTAATAATAACCGAAATTATGAGCCAACATGGTGTCTGAATTTAAGGACATATCTATTGCAAACAGACACGATTTCTTGGTTTATTACAAGTCAGTTATTGAACAGAAAAATAATGATAGAAAAAAATTATGGTCAATTGCAAAGTATGGGATTTGAATTCCACATCGGTGTTGTAATGTGATGGTGTGGGTTTTATAAAGCTTTGAGCTCTCCACCTTAATAACTAGCTTTTAGGGGTGTGATTATCCCTGGGTTGTATCAATTATATCAGAGCTACCCACCATCCTCCGTGTCCATCATGCCATCGATGGTGACACTGGTATTGCCGCCCAGGACTAGAAATGTCTAGCACACATCTAACCGTCGAGGACGATAGATGTGGAACATGGTGATTTGTTATGTTCCATTGCAATGTATGAGACTTGAGTCCCACATCGGTAGCCTTGAACTCTCCCAACTGAATAGTTAGCTTTTGGGGTGTGGTTCTACCTGGGTTTTATCAAAAAACTAATGCAAAATTCTACTAGACACTAAAGCCATTTGACGTGGAATTTAGTCTTAAGGAAAGACAACTGTAACTTGGCGTGAAACACTTTTTCTTTCCTTAAGTAATTATTAGCAGTACTCACATCTCTCTACACTAACTGTTGAAGAGTCACACGTCGACTTTATAAGGGACGGGTGAACTCTTTATATGGTTGGACAATCCTCACTTGAGTTAGTTTTTGGGGTTGAGTTAGGCCTAATGTCCATTTTTTACATGGTATCAGAGCAAGACTCATCCTAATTCTCGTTTCCCAATGTTGAGTCCTCATATTGAATTGTCCACGCTCCAGATGTCTAGCCCCGTGCATGAGAGGGGGTGGTGAAGTGTCCCAACATTGGCACTATAAGGAATGGTTGGTCTCTTTATATGGCGTGGCAATCCTCACCACTTGAGCTAGTTTTTGGGGTTGAGTTAGGCTCAAGTTCAATTTCTTTAACACTAACAAATTGTAATTCTGGTGATACTGGATTCTAAAGGTATTTGTAACTGCCAACCAGTAAATATATTATGGAAAGAAAAGGGATGCAAGAATCAATAGTCAGTACAAAGCTTAGAGGCTCAAGAGAGTTCTAACAACTAAAGAATAGTAGACTTCCTTTCCATATTTCGAATTCATAGTGAAGGGACTTTTAAGATGTCAAATTTTAGGAAAAATATTGGTTGTAGAACGTGGAAAAGACAAGCTAATTTGACAACAAATACTGCAACCAACATGGCCATGCTTAAACACTAATAGCAACATCATTGATTTAACATGCACTTTGGTAGGATGCCGGTAATCTGTTCTATTGTCTTATATAGTTTAAAATTTGAGTAATAGTAATAAAGAACATTATTGCAAGATAGAAATGAAGGGTGGCAAACATCAAATATGCTGCAAGTTCCATATAAATAACTAATCCATTAAGCAATGTAAAATAACTTAATGAGGATAAAAAATAACAGCAAAATTATTACACCTTTCTGATAAATGGAGCAGAAGAAAAATCTCGAAAATATCTTCCATGCATATACTGGTAAGGGAAGGCAAATTAGTCGCTGTTACACAGCAAAGACATCAAACCAACAACATTAATTTTAATTTACTGTTATTCTTGAATAACATAAATACTAGCTTGAGAACATGCATTGTTAGAACTAATGCATTTTAATATTTAACATAAGCAGGAGTGATAACTACCATAAAGGATACAACATGTGAATTACTTGTGAAATAGAAATTTAGAATAAAGGTGTGGTTTGACAAATAATATAACTGAACTGACCTTGTCCTCTTCACTTTGTGTTTGGTTCTCCACCACTGCAAAAGAGTTGTTATATTCAACGACGACAGATGACTCAGAAGAGTTGACTGTACATTCTGGAAGTCCTGAATCAAAAAGGGCATGATCCTCTTCGAACGGGCTGGCCTCGTCTTCATTTATGAAAGTTGCTTGGGAAGTGCAGACTGCAAAATCTCCACACATGAAATAGAGATTGGCAATTAGTGCACTCAAGTCAAACATCAAAGAGGATGTGACAAAAAGAAGAATGTTACTCATGTTGTCCCATTTTTAAGTGGCACACTTTCCTTTTTAATTTGTCCCAAACGGAATGACATTTTTTTTACCCCTCGCTAGGAGCTTCCCACTTTGCTCTCTTGGTGACTCGAACCCGCAACCTTAAGGTTGGAGGAGGATGTGCTTATCACTTGAACAACCATTTGTCCCAAACAGAATGAAATATTTTTATATTTGGAAACAAATTAACTTTAAACTTCCCAGTTTACCTATAACGCGTGATTTTATAGCCACACAAATTTCTAGGACATGTTTTAAACTACAAGTTTCAAAAGTCTTTTTAAACAACTTTCCCAGTCAAACATAGCCATATAAAATGGGGCGGAGGGAGTAATAGATATGGTACAGATCAAAGAGAGGAGAGGTAGTATCAAAAAGATTTTTTTACAAGTACTATTGAAGATGAATAGGATTCAGAACTTTACTATTACCAGAACTTTCCATTTCTTCCCCGTCCTTCTGAGCAGTACAAGAGCGTGACCCACTTAATATAGCAGTTGCTTTGCCATTCAAACGTGTAATCTCTGCTTCCATTTTATTTGGTTTCATCAGATTTTCAACACCGGTAGGATTCAGATCTTCAACGCCAATAGGATTCAGAACTTTACTACTACCAGAGCTTTCCATTTCTTGCCCGTCCCCCTGATCAGTACAAGAGCGTGACCCACTTAATACAGCAGTTGCTTTGCCATTCAAACATGTAATCTCTGCTTTCATTTTATTTGGTTTCATCAGATCTTCAACACCAGTAGCATCTTCAATAGAACTTTCGAGCTGCTCAGCAGTCTATAACAGATCGCATTGTTAGAACTAAAGCATTTCAGATTAAACATAAGCATGAATGATAATTAGCATAAAGGATACAAAATGTGAATTACTTGTGGAATAGAAATTTGGAATAAAGGTGTGTGACTAATAACATAACTGAACTGACCTTATCCTCTTTGTTTTGTGTTTGGTCCTCCACCACTGGAAAAGAGCGGTTATTTTCAATGAAGAGAGATGACTCAGAAGAGTTGACTGTACATTCTGGAAGTACTGAATCAAAAAGCGTGTGGTCCTCTTCCAACAGGTCGTTCTCGTCTCTGTTTACGGAAGTCGCTTGGGAAGTGCAGACTACAGAATATCCGCACATAAAACAGAGATTGGTAATTAGTGCACTTGAGCTAAACATGAAAGAGGATGTGACACGCAAAAGAATGTCAACAGATATGATAGAGATCATAGAGAGGAGAATTAGCATCAGAAAGATTTTTATACAAGTCCTGCTGAAGACAAATAGGAGACTCAGAATTTTACTATTACCAAAACTTTCCTCTTCTTGCTCGTACTCCTGATCAGTGCAAGAGGGTGACCCACATAACAGAGCATTTTCTTTGCCTTTCAAATTTATACTCTCTGCTTTCATTCCATCTGGAATCTTCGGAACTTCAACACCAGTAATATCTTCAATAGATCTTTCAAGCTTCTGGGCAGTCTATAACAGGTTAAGCTCAAAGTTATAACACGTAAATAATGTCATTCCAGGTTTTACATACCCATAATTTTCATAAACACCCTGTGGAAATATTTTTGATGTTTCAACTTCGTTCCATGAATAACAGCTACTTGCCTAATTATTTAGAAGAAGAAAAAAATAGGCAGTATTCTAAGAATGAAAAGACCAGAAGAAAGGATAACATATGCCCTACTGTGGAGTCAAGCCGCTCCTCAGTTCCCGTATGTGCATCTGACTTCACCTGAAACATAGTTATAACCACAAAATAAGCAGCCTTCTTCCAACAAAAAGACAATACAAAAAAAGTAAATAACATGAAAGAGACTAATTCATATTTGACAGGGTATATGGAAAACATGCTTTCAGTGTCAAGCAGCTTTTTTGACGCACTTTTTCCACAAAGATATGAAAACCTTGTGCAGCTTTATTAGCGTACTCGAACAAATTTCAGCAACTAAACAATTCAATCTTCCTTTGCAGAACTCCCTACAGGCCGACAACCGCCACCATCACCACCATCCCAAAAAAACAAGTAACCTAGTTTCTAAATTATATATCAACTATCAAATGGGTGAAAGAAAACAACTCTCAATCAACTTCTAGTTATGCAGGATTCTCAAGGCATATGTAATTGCCAAAAACTAAATAAAACTCAAGTAAAAAAGGGACGCTAGAACCAATTATCACTGCAAAGATTAGAGGCACATGAAAGTTCTAACAACTAAAGAATAGTAAAATTTCTTTCCATAAATTGAGTTCATAGTGAAAAGATTTTTCAAAAATCAAATTTGAGGAAGGATTATTGGTTGAAAAACATGGAAAAATAAGCTACATTCAATGAAATTTCACAACACATACTGCAACCAATTATCACTACAAGGACATGCTTAAACTACTAATAGCAACATCATCGGCTTCACATGCACTTTGGTAGGATGTCCGTAATCTGTTCCGGTGTCTGATATAGTTTAAAATTTGAGTAATAGTAACAATAAACAAGATTGCAAAATAGGACTAAAGGGTGTCAAATATCAAATAAGCTGCAAATTCCATTTAAATAACTAATCCCTTAACTAATGTAGAACTAACTTGAGGAGTATAAGAAATAGCAGCAAAACTATCACAGCTTCCGCATATAAATGGAGCAGAAGAAAAATCTCAAAAATATCTTCCATGCACATACTGGTAAGGGAAGGCATATTAGCATGTGTTACACAGCAAAGACATCAAACCAAGAACATTAATTTTAATGTACTGCTATTCTTAAAGAACAATAACTTGAGAACATTGCATTGTTAGGACTAGTGCATTTTAATTAATAATAAGCATAAGTGATAATTAGCATAATTAATACAATAAGTGAATTGGTTTATCGGAAACAAACTCTCTACCTCCACAAGGTAGGTGTACACACCACCATCCTCAAACACCACACACGGTGGGAATACATTGAGTATGTTGTTGTTGTTGGTATTGTGTAAGTGAAATACTTGTCAAATAGAAATTTAGAATACAGGTGTGACTAATAATATAACTGAATAGACCTTGTCCTCTTCTTTTTGTGTTTGGTCCTCCCACATTTGAAAAGGGCTCTTATTTCCAACGAAGAGAGATGACTTAGAAGAGCTGACTGAACATTCTGGAAGTACTGAATCAGAAAACGTGCGGTCCTCTTCCAACAGGTCGTTCTCATCTCTGTTTATGAAAGTCGCTTTGGAAGTGCGGACTACAGAATCTCCACAAGCAAAACGAAGATTGGTAATTAGTGCACTTGAGTCAAACATCAAAAGGATGCAACAAAGAGAAGAACCTTAAGAGATATGGTACAGATGAAAAAGAGTAGTATGTCAGAAAGATTTTTATAGAAGTACTATTGAAAATGAATAGGATTCAGAATTCTACTACTACCAGAACTTTCTTCTTCTTGCTCGTACTCCTGATCAGTGCAAGAGTGTGACCCGCTTAATACAGCAGTTGCTTTGCCATTCAACTGTGTAATCTCTGCTTTCATTTCATTTGGTTTCATCAGATCTTCAACACCAGTAGCATCTTCAATAGAACTTTCGAGCTGCTGAGCAATCTATAACAAATTATCCTCAAAGTTATAACATGTAAAGAATGTCATTCCAGGGTTTATATATCCATAATTTCATTAAACAATGACAATTAATTAACTAATTTTTTAGAAGAACAAATATCTTTAGGAGGCCAAAAGTGTTCTCAGAAAGAAAAGACCAGAAGAAAGGAAAACATGTCTTACAGTGGAGTCAAGCCGCTCATCATTTCTCGCATGCGCAGATCCTTCCAAAGGACAAGAATAAGCTTCAGACGTCACCTAAAAAGATAATTATAACCACAAAATAAGCAGCCTTCTTCCAACAAAAAGAAAGAGAATACCAGATTTCAAGTGGAAAGAGATGAAAGTTGCAAAAGGAAAAAAGTAAGAAACACGAAATAGAGTAATTCATTTTTGACAGTGCATATGGAAAAAATGCTTTCAGTCTCAAGCAGCTTTTCTACCTTACTTTTTTCCACAAATATGCGAAGACAAATTACACAGCTTCGTTAGCACACCAGAAAAAAGTAATTCAAATTTCAAACAGCTAAACAATTCAATCTTCCATTTTATTACTCTGTACAAGCTAACAACCACAACCACTACCACCACCACCCACCCACCCCCCACCCCCACAAAAGGAGAAAGTAGTTTCTCATTTAACTACCAATTATCAAATGGATGAAAGAAAACCACTCTCAATCTACTTCTAATCTCGTCATGAAATGGAAGAGAAGAACCAGATTAGATGTATGGTGGAAAACAAGAAAGAGATAGGTATTAAAGAATTCAAAAATATATTCTCCAAAATGATTCTTGCTTGTTTACCTCATTGCAGCCAATGGATTGATGATCCTCAAGATCTAAAGAACTTTTTCTTCTGAGTTCATCCACTTCTCTGAAGGAAACCTCACTTGAAACCCCCTTCCTGCAGCAGCAGTTACTTTGCCAATCCATCAGTTCATTCTCTAGTTCAGCCCATCTTGTTTTCTCGATGATTATGCAGTCTCTAGGAGTGCAGGTTTCATTTTCATCCACCTGTTACGTAAAAGCTACTATTTAGTATAAACAATTATAGTTCCTAAATGGTTAAGCCCAAGAATGAACCCTTTAGGACATTAGTTAAGAAAACTTTAAGCAAAAAGTATATAGTTAAGAAAAACCACTCTCTGTCTACTTCAAAATCTCATCATGAAATGGAAGAGAAGAACCAACCTACAAATGGTGGACAAGAAAAAGGCATGTAATAGACAATACCAAAAATACATCTCCAAAATGACTCTTGCTCATGTACCTCATTCTGATCAGTGGATTGACGCGCCTCACAATCTAATGAACCTTTTCCTCTGAATTCATCCTCTTCTCTGGAGGATTCCTCACTTGAAACTCCTTTCCTGCAGCAGCAGTTACTTTGCCAATCCCTCAGTTGATTCTCTAGTTCAGCGGATCTAGTTTTCTCACTACTTAAGCAATCTCTGAGGGTGCAAATTTCATTTTCAGCCACCTTTACATGAACACAACTACTCAGTATTACCAAACGTAGTTCCTAAATGGTAAAGCCTAATAATGGATGCTTAAGTATATTAAAATCCAATAGTAGCAATGTTATGCAAAGAATATATAGTCAGCACACTATACCTCAAGTTTTCTCTTGTATTCTTTCAAGACTTTCCACAAAGCCTTTCCAAAATTTTGCAGAATCTGATGATTTCTCTCTTTTCTTTCCAATTCCACGTGATCAACTCTGAGAATATTCCTCTCATTTGCTTCAATAGTGATGATCTCCTCAGGCTGAACAAGAACGTCTGCCAAGCTGTCATCCTTCACTCCTTCCACAGCAGCTTCTATCCAACAGAAGCAATTAACTTTAAACACGATCCTCTATTGGACAGATTTTATAGTCCAATCTACAGAAAAAAATGGAAGAAAGAATGAAAGAGGCAGAAGAAAAGAACTTGAATACCTTCATTCGGAAGTTGACATTCATAGCTTCTTTGATTGATCTGCAAGAAAATTACAGTTGACATGAATAAATAATAGCTATGAATCTTGTGAAGGCTGAGAGTTGTTGGGTAAGGAAAATGTAAACCCAGAGGCGAATCCAGGACTTTAGCTATATGGGTTCAACATTTAAGACTTTTTGTATTGAACCCATTATATTTTAAAAGTTATGGGTTTACATCTACTATTTATTGCAATTTCAGTGTATTTTTACACATAAATTTATACAGTGCATGAAAAGTACTGGGTTCAGATGAACCAGCGACCCGAAAGCTGCATCCGACGCTGTCTACACCAAAACGACCAGAAGAAATAGCTGCCTAAAAGCTGTTGCTTGAATTATTATTATTAGCAGTTTATGATAATTTGGCACATCTTCTGAAGGATTCCCAACCATAATTACTGACTTTGGGTACAGAACAGCAGCATAGCCCAGTACATCATACACATATATATAACTATGTTTGAGTCACATGTAGTTAATGGTATTGACAAGTCTGTCTTCTTCCATAACGAACCATTCTCAAAAAATAAAGTTTGTCTTCTTCTATAATGATTACATTTTATTTAATTTTGTTTCTTAGTCTGTAATTAACAATATATTTAGTTCAGTACAACTCCCAAGTTGTGATTGTAGTGCTCCTATTTTTAATAGTGTTTTATATTTAACCATAATAGGTGAATGAACGAAAGAAATAGACTTTCAAAATTTTGAAAGAGAATTGTCTAAGGAAATATGTGCACATCATCCTAATGAAAGAGGACTCGAACAAAATTTTGTTTCTTATCTTTTCATAATCGAGAAATCCCTAGGGCCAGTGGCTTACGGTTTGAAACCTGGTGGATTAATGGGTCTTCCTTCTATCCTTCTCCTCTTAAATACTAGGCTTTTATCTGGGTTCAAACCCGTGATATGCACCTAACCGGCTAACCCACACATCAGCATTGTGCTCCTGCCACTAGACCAATTCCCTGGGAGCAGAACAAAGTTTTTGTTTCCCAACCAGTATGAATGTTTTGCTTGTTTGATTCTTTAAAGTTGAGACCCAAGACATCGTTAATAAATGTCATCTTACAAGAGTCACTTTAAAGTATAAAAGGACCAGACTGGTTTTTCTTTCTGGGTTGAAAGTTAAAGGATAATCTTGAGAGACTAACTGAAACTGGTAATTCAGTAAGCAACTTCCATGTGGAGGAGCAGAGACATTGGATTGTAAATAGAGGCACTACGCATCTCGATATTAAAAGGGAAAAGGATATAATTTCATTAACAGGATGAGATGCATCTGCATGTCAAAGCCTAAACTATTAAAACATACAAGTTTGGTCGCGGAATAAGAAATAAGCTTTCACCAACAACTTAAATGGAGAAAATATTGTGTTAGACAACTACCTCATCTGGTGAATCATATATTAAAGCAGAAAGCCTAAGGTGCAGGATGTAAAATAAAAATGGGCCAAATAAGATATACCTCACAATTTTCAATTCGACTCAACTTCATTCTTTTAAGCTTCCCCATGCTAGGCGTTGTTTGCACAGGCCTCTTATTGTGCTTTAAAATCCCATGTTCTTCAACAATGTCAAACCTACATCAACAAGTTCTTCATTCAGATGGTCATTTTTGTTACAGAAAAGGTCATTGCTAAACCAATTGTTCCAACGGCAGTCATACTTGATTTTTGTATATGGTGAAGCCTGCCTTAGCAGAAAAGAAGTATCAAGGTAGTCTTCTTCCCCAGGTCTTACAGTTAGAAGCTGCAGCAGGACATAGAAAGCCACAAAGGATACAATGTTAAGAAACCTACAGTTTTTGTGGAGCAGAAAAGTTTGATGGACTGCCAATATTTTAAGCAGTTAATGACAGTTTTAAATATCTAAACTGATTTCTGCAGAAGTAAATGCATACCAATGCCATCCGCTTCTTCCCTTCCAAATAATCTCGTAAGTATCTGGTCAACTATGCAAAAGAAGAACGCGAAAAATTACTAAGGAAATGAAGGATTTTCTAACTGAGAAAAAAATAGCTATCGAGAGCTGAGTATGCAATTTCACCTTCAACGAACAAAACCATTTCATAAACAGCCTCAACATTGACTTAGGGCTTAAAGACTCAACAGGGAAAAAAGATAAAAAGAGCAGTACAGAACATATTTACCTATAATGTTGGTCCCTAGATAACTGTGCAGTGATATCGATAAAACAAATCTAGCAGTACAATCGCATTTTTGTTCAAGATATTTATTAACGTAAATTTGTCTGAAGATGACTTGCCAAAGATATTAGTATATTTATTCTGATAGCTCTACTCTGTGAAACATTAATTACACCATAATCTGTGTTTTATTAGGAACTCTGTAAGGTAACATTGGGATAGAAGCAAAAAAGATTTATTTTCAACAAGCAGAAGTAAATATAAAGGTAACAAGCAGTGACTATAGACCAATAAAATTTCCTGGAAAAGTGACAGAGAAGGATAACTAAGGAAGACATTACCAGAGAGTTTTGAAAGTGTTTCTGCATAGGTTTTCTGGGGTTCTTCTGATGCTCCAGTAATGACTGCACAAAACTATCAGTAGATTAGGACCAAAGAAAGAGTGTCATACCTCGACATTAATGAAACGGAAGTCATAAAACCATATTGATGCTACATACCTTTAAGCACAGGCCAAACACCATCGAAGTGTTGTTGATAAAATTACTTTCGAGCAATCTAACCCCCTAGACATGAGTAACATTTTTAGTGAGATGCCGCAAGCCAGAGAAATACATTAACCACCAAATTTGCAACATAACACTTAAGGTCTAAGAAAGAGTCACAATCTTCTTCTTGTCGTCTGAAGATCAAGATCTAACCTAGACAGTCTTGACAATAAAATCAAAGATACTAATGGAAATGGATCTTTTAGAATTCAACAAAATATCTTCTACATAATGATATGATTTCAGTGACCACGGACAATTTGTTACCTGATTTCCAGTCTTCTTTTCCCTCTCAGCTCCAGCAAGGTCAACTATAGTCAGCACAGCACTGTTTGAATTATCACCAACTTTTCCATCTGCCCTCTTATATTCACAGCGGATATTTATGATGCACTGTGAACGACTGCAAGGGTGTTAAAATTGTCATCATAATAACTACAATTGCAACATGACTATGTGAACTTAACATATTCTTTATGTCCGTAAACTAGAGATTATTTCAAAGATTCCATACTTGCCAATACAGAGAAGAAAAACATAGAGATCTCGTGAATGGTCCATCAATCATTTCAAGTCTGAGTAGTAGAAGAAGTACTATTACAGTTTGGTATCAAAAAAAAAGTCACTTAAGCAAGAAATCCAACGTTTGAAGAAGCCAAAACAACTAACACTGGATATATTTAGGGAGAGACACTAGCAAAGGTTTCTCAATCATTTCAAACCACAGCATAAAGCAAAAGAACAGCCACAGACCTACATAAGCATTTATATCCAACTCACCTAGATTGACTGTTTGAATTCGTCATAGCTGTCGCACGTTTTAAAAGTCCACATGCGATTAACGATTCAGCTTGCTGCGCATCATAAAGTACGGCCTATTCAGAAGTACCAGAGTGGACACTTATTATTTGATCTCTTTGAACCACAGAAGTTATAGATTGAAAAAAACACACAACAAAGAGAAGCTATACAGCAATTCAAAGGACAACCTCTCGCACGCCTTTAATAGATGATTGTTGGATGCATAAATCAGCCCCATCTTGTGATAAATCAAATATCTTTTCAGATTTTCCTTTCTCAGAAGAGATCTCAAACATGGACAAATAAAATATCCTGCACGTGATAAATCATGAAGAAAAGAGTTTATTCAATGCAGCATTTGAAGGACTTACATAGAACTGCAACTGTTTATCCATAGTTAAGAATGCAATGACTGTTTTAAGACAGTTCAAAATCTCATGAACCAGGAAACTGCTAAAACAAATATATCCAGCCAAACATTATAAGTACGATAAACAGTAGAAATTAAAGCACCTTCGCGACTTCTTCTTCTCTCCTTCTTCCTGTGATAAAATTCGACGAAGAGCAAGAGGCACCATACCAGGGTCCCTTCCACAGCCAAAGATGGTATGAGTCTTCCCAGAACCACTTGGTCCCAATGCAGCTAACATTCCACTCTTACCCTTCAAAAAATCCTCAACTAAAGGATTCACTATTTCTTCGTACACTTCCCTCTGCAACAAAAATGCCAATATCAATCAACAACAGCAACTACTGCTGCTGCTGCTTCTAAATCCTAAACTAGTGAATCCTCGATACATTTCAACTTAATACTAATAATTCCTTTCACAAATGTGTCGATTTAATACTCCCATTCCAATCTATGTGATACTCTTTCCTTTTGAGTTTGTCCCAAAAAGAATACATTACAATATTAAAAATAATTCAACTTTAAATTTCTCATTTTGCCCTTAATGAGATGATTTGTAGTCACACAAATATGAAATGTCTATAGCTTGTTTCTAGACCACAAGTTTCAACAGTTTTTTTTTTCTTTCCGCGTAGTCAAACAATATCACATAAATTGGGACGGACGGAGTAATAAGAATACAAAGAAAATGAATTTTTTTATTCTAAAGACATAAGCAAAGATAACCTGAGAAGCTTGTGACGAGAAGACATGTGAAAAACCTTCATAAACTTCTGATTTAATACGTTTGGCGTCTTGTAAGCTCTGCGGAGGCAATAGGGTAACGGAATGTGCATCATTCACTGTCACGCAGACTTCATTACTCTTTTTGAGCTTCTTCGGCAACGCATTGGTGGACTTAGGGTTTTTAGGCCAAGCATTTTTAGTTGTTTTCTTCATTTCAGCAGCCGTTTTTTCTATTTTCGCTGTTTCTCGTTGAGAAATTAATGGTCGAACTCTCAGATATACCTTGAGATTCTCTGATGATGATGGATGCTCCGTAAGAAGTTGTTTTTCAGGGACTTCTATTGATAGAATATCCTCAATGGGGAATGAAGAGATGTTTGGCGGCGGCGATCGGGGAAGCGTAGTAGGAACAGCGGAGGATGGTGTCGGTCTTGCTCTCCGGGGAGGGTTCCGGCGAACGGTCACCGTGTACGGCGGACATGGCGATTTCGTCTCCATTTCTTCTTTTGATGAAAAGTAGTAGCAGTACTAGTTCAGTACTAGTGTATTAGTACATCAAAAGGGGCGGAAATATTTGAATTAGAGGGAGTGACGTAAGCTTTACTTACGAGAATCTTTCTTTGAATTTCTCGGCCCAACCAACTTCCTAAATGGACCAACCCATAACTAAAGGTCCAGTCTATTTGTGTTTTTATTTAATTTTGTTGGTACTCAATTTAATGAAATATTTACTTTTTTAATCACAGCATATATCATTAAAATGAAAAAAATTACTTTCGTTAATCTTTATTTATATTTTGGAGAAACATAAATATTTAAATACCTTTAAAAATATATAATCTTTCAAAAGCAAAATGCCAATAGCGAAAAAGTGTAACACTATGAGGCATAAGGGTAAGACTCGTTTCAACGATGTTAAGATATTTTCTTTCAATGTTGTTCATGTGCGAGAACATGATATTTTAAGAATGATGCCATGTTTTGGCAAAGAGTGGTAATAGAAGGCGAAATTTGCGACCTTAGTCTGTTTACACAACTTTAATAATTGTGTTAAATTGTTTTTCAACTAAAGCTTTGAATTGATGAAATGTAGGCCAGGCTAACTGATTTTGTGGTTTGTCGGTATAGTTTTTTTTTTTTGGAAAAGGGCCAAAAATGTCCCTCAACTATTTGAAATAGCTTAAAAATACCCTCTATTTATTTTTGGTACCAAAAATATCCCTAGCGTCTATGTTTTGGACCACATGTACCCTTATTAACTAACAGAATTTTACATCAGATGCCACCTCAGAAAAAGACCCCACTTTCTTTTTACCCTACCCAACCACCCTTTCACCTGACCCGAATCAAACAGACCCCTAATAAGGATTTCCCTAGAATTTAGAGCATATAAATGACAATAGGTATTTTATCTGATACACACAGCTGCATACAACATATAAAGGACAAATGCAGCAAATTAGACTTACACGGCATTTGGTCCCATGATTTTAAACCAAAAGCTACAGAATCATATATGGCCATTTTGAATTCCCCTTCCACTCAGCTTTTAAAAGCCAGAAGAAAATTTGAAGAAGTAAAAGCAAAAAAATGAATTGTACTATAAACTGTTGAAAGTTGGTTCCTCATAGATTTAAGAGTCGGCAGTCAAAGAAATTAATTGGTGACTGGCTGTTCATCAATTACATATTAAAACATTTGCACTTTGTCAAGGAATAGAGATCCTTGGAGCTGACCTTCATAATACATATTTGGCCGGTTGAACGACGATTTCAGGACTAGAGGGCTTTGCAAATTCAATGATTCTATGACATCTTTCT